CCACAATACCCTTGTTACTTTCCAACTTTATTATTAAATCCAACATCAAATTTCTTCAATTAAATCCATGAACTTTTAACTTAATTCAAAATTGAGCACATAGTTTTCAAAATTTGCAATTTAGTCACTGACCCTGATTTGGGATGTTACATGTGTAACCTTTGGTCAAGATGTAAAGGCATGTTGAATTTAAAACCCCATGTTTCAAAAGAGGTTAAGGCATATTGGACACAGTTTGATTATATCATGAAAAGGTTGATTGTTAAATTCTAGTTGGCAATATTGAAATTTTGATCAAGAAATTGAAAAGGTACATGTAACCATTCAATATTTCTTTTATAATATTTATACATTAAGATTATACTACTATATCAGGTTTTATTAAATTTCCACTGCTCAACAAAAGTTAATCTGTTTTGAGAATTAATTAATTAAATTCTCTTCGATTAATAGAAATTGGTTATGTTTCGGGTTTTAATCTCATTATCCAAAAACAAGTTGGTTTTGTTTCGGATTTTAGTTTTACTAAATCTTGACGTTTAATATATTCAACAAAAATATTATTGATAATGTATTTCTGTTTCGGGATTTTAATTTTACAAAATTCTAGTTGTTTAATAGAAATTAATCAATTGTTGTATTTTAGTTTTGACTAAAATTCATTACGATAAATAAGGTACTAAACGAAATTATGATATGTTTGTGAACAAAAATCGGGCATATAATTCTGTTTCAGGATTTTAATCCTGATGTTTAACAAAATTTATTTGATTTACTGTTGATAACATAAATCGTTTGGAGGTAACAACATTGTTACAAATTTTGTTTTAGAATTTTAATTTCTAATTAAATTTTGTTGTTTAACAGAAAAAATGGTAAAATAAATTGAATTAACTTTCAATTTATTGTTGGAATATTTACAAACTCTGGTTACGTGTTTTAAACGAAACAATGGTAACCCCACTGATTCACCTAACTCGTGATTTGGAATATTGATTCCTCATTTTCACACTTCGAATAAAATTCAACGATGGTAGTGGTTGTGAGCCACAACGAGAAGCATGTGAAATTCATGGATATAATTTCAAGACATAGCTGAATATGGTCAAATATAGGATGATCCTCCTATTCATAGAGAGGATGAGATAGACATTGTTGTCATTAAAGCTTGAAACCATTCTAAGTTTCTATGTCGAAATTACATCTTGAATAGATTGTCAGATACACTATATGAAGTGTATAATATCCATAAGATTGCCAAAGAATTATGAATGACATTTAACCATGTTCTGAGTTGTCATAGAACATGCGGAGGAAACTATTTTATTAGCAAATTACCTTTAAATAAGATAACTTGCAAGAAAATAGGTGAGACACCATATGAGTTATGGAAATATATAAAACTTTCCTACAACTACATCAAAGTATGGGGGTGCCTTGTATAAGTATAATGGTAAGTCGAGACACATATGTCGTCGATATAATATCATTAAACAAGTGATCTCACCTAGAGTTATCTATATTGATTTTGAAAGAACAAAAGATAACATTGTGGATCCGCTAAACAATGAGTTGAATCGAGATCAAGTTCATAAACATCGAAAGAAATGTGACTAAAGCCCATTAATATTTAAGGCGCTATGTTAAGGAAAACCCAACTTAGTTAACTGGAAATCCCAATATCTAAGTTCAATAGGACAACCTACTTACATAGACCTTGTGAGGTCATTGTGGGGGTTCTTATCCCCAAGTTCATTCATATGATAAAACAGTGACTAAAATGTGGAAAAGGTTAAGCAATGCTTTTAATGACCACTATGTGTTTCGGTAAACCAAACAACATAAGTCACTTATGTGAAAGTGAAGTGGAGCCGCTTCAAAGAGACTATTGGGGCATAGTTTTCTAAAATCTTACAGAACCAGAAGATGTCCACGGCTATATGGACATAACCATGAGAACCAAATTATTGTCAGTGAGATATTGGTGTGAGGTATGTCATCGCTTACACCAACGGCAGGACGGTTCAAGGACATCACGTCTACTGGAAAACTAGTAAGGTAAACATATTTTCACAAGGAAATGTTCAAAGGGGGGCGCCTACCTATCCTATGCAAATATCAAACATAGAATCTATCACCACATCGAGTCAGTGTTTGAACCATCAAGTTCATTCATGTGGGGGATTGTTGGAAAAGTTGAATGAATTGATGTTATTTATAACTAACTAATTATAAGTCATGTCACTTGGTGAATGGACATAATTTTTTGGTTTAAAGTTGCATCCATTCAATCATACCTATTCAACGATTCTCTTCATGAAAAGATTAAATCCTTTCATGAAAAGGTTAAGCCACTTCATCAAAAGGAGAAGTCTTTTAATCAAAAGGTTAAGTCCCTTCATCGAAAGGTCTTAACCTCTCAATCCATTTCCTCTCCCTATATATAGGCTAGTTTAGGCACAATTAGACACAAGTTATAAAACACAACACAAGTTACAAGTTACAAAGAACAAGTTTAGAACTATGGAATAGGAAAACACTTAGAAAATTCCTTCCAAATTTGTTCTTTCCGGTGATAGAGAAAGACAAGATTATGTTCGACTGATCACTACGATTGTGCTTACTGTTGTGATCGTTTATTGTTGTATTCTAGGAGACCTACGTCCAACGTTACTCAAAGCACCTACGAGAGGACGAATCTGTCTTAAGAAAAATTGTTCATACAGGCCTCAACAAAATTCTTCTTCGGTTTATGTTACTCTACTCATCCGATTCAGTGCCTAAATCTGAATAAACTAATTTTTTGCCTCTACTTTAAGTTTTATTTATTTTTCTTCGTTTGATTATATATAATAATATTTATTATTATTATTATTATTATTATTATTATTATTATCTCGGATTAACATTTTTTCTAACAGAATTAAAGTGGTGATGGTGATGTTAAAGGAATGATTTAGGATCAAGGAAGAACCGATACTAAAAATGTTTTGACTCGAACCTTGTACAATCTTCAATTAAAGGACGTAGACCCACTAGTTAAGAAACTTGGAACCAAAAGCATCAATGAATGGGGTTGACCACAAGCAAGCTTGATAAGTTAAGGAGTTCTTAAAAAGAACAAAGAGAATTGAATTCTCTTTATATTGCACTCAAGAATGAAGTTGATTGATTGATTGATTACAAAATGAGAAATGAAGGCCTATTTATAGGCTTACAAAAATGACATGAAAAGGCACCCCTAAAGGATGAAAGGGTGGCCAGCCATGGTTGAAGAGGGAAGAGCCTTTGGTGAATCAACTTGTGATTTAAGGCAACTAATTGCTACCTTTCATGTTTGTCGCCCATCCTCCTTGGTGAAGAGTGCATTGTTTTGATTTTGAATCTTCATGAATGATATCTTTATGAATAGGCTTGAATGAAGAATGATGTCTCTTGAAATGGTGCTCATTCATCCAACCATTTCATGAAGAGGCATGATGAAGCATTGCGACTTTTAGAGGCACCCTTTGAGATGAATCATCATCTCTTTGGGTGAAACATCATGTCTCTTAGGTGAAGAATTATGCCTCTTGGAAAGGTACCTCTTGATGAAGTGTTGTGACTCTTTGAAAAAGTACCTCATGATGAAGCATTGTGTCCTTTCATTATGGCTCCTTCTTGAAAAGGTATGAGATGAAAATCCAAAACTTTTGGACACTCCTATTCATCTTGTAGCCGTTGGAAGTGAATGGAAGGCATTTCTTCATCTTACTAGTCGTTGGAAGTGAAGAAATACAACCCTTCTCCTTGTAGCCGTTTCTTTGACTATATCCATCCTCCTAGCCGTTGGAAGCCTCCCTTGAATGATAAGGTACCTTGTAATTAAAATAAAACTATATTAAATGAAAACATAAGATATATATATAGGCATATGTTATGATTATTTAAACTTAGATTAAGATGTCAATTAATTTTCATGAATGAATAGAATGCATATATGATATAATAACACAAAATATAGTTAAGGAGAACTCCCTTCAAATATAAAAATTAAAATAAAATAAAATCAATGTTATGGAGTTCTTTGTATCAACTATCAATCACTTGTTTTCTTCTTATTTATTTAGTGATTTCAATAATGATTAATTATATTAGATCGAATAAGATTACAAGAATGATAAATTTCTTCAATCATATATTTAATGTTATTATAACTTTAAATTTGAAATTTTGATTAAATTAACATTTAGTGTTAAATAATCTATAAGTGATTGGTCGTCGTGTTAACGGAGTTTTGCTCATATCGCTGGAAAACTTTTTTTCACAACTATATACTGCTACCAGCACTCTGTGAACAGAACCAGTGAAATTCTAACGAAAGGTAATCTAATTTATGACTAAAAACGCACAACCAAAAATATGATAAAAAAACATATTATTTTAAATTTATATAATTTAAAATGTGACATTATTCATAATATTCTCGATTATAATCTAAAATGTTATAAATAATGTCACATTGTTGATTACTGACCAAAAATATTATGAAGATAATATTTTAAATTATAACAAAAAAATATTATAAAAAAAATCAAATTTTAAATTATATTAAACTTAAAATATTATACTTTTTAATAATATTTTATGTCGCACTTATTTCTATCGTATTTTAGCCGCATCCAAACTCGCAGCACAGCAGATCCTCCCACAAAACCTACTTTTATTTAAAAACAAATGGAAGAGTCAGAGAGAAAAGGGAGAATGATCCACCTGTGTTTGTCAGTGACACTGAACATTGGCTTGGGTAATGAACAACAAAGGAGACCCACCACCCGCAAGTCCACTATCCTTTCTTTTTACCCTTAATCATTGATGCTGTAAAAATGAAAAGCCTTTGGGATTCAATTTAAACTGTTAGATCTCTCTAACACAATGCATAACAAGTAATGAATTGCTTGGAATGAGATTAACATATTGCGTCTTCTTCTTTCTCTCAAACCCTAGAAGAAAGAACCCAATAATTAAAAATCAATTAAGCCTCACGTGTGTTACACATCAAACCAACACAATTGTTCAAAACAAGAGAGGATGATCGTCTCTATGAGTGATGACTAGTTGTTGTTGTATCATGTGTGTCATCACCTCCACCTCTGTCGTCGCCGTGGTGTGAATGTGACCCGCTCGCTCGAGATGCCGATTCGCCGCTTCCGGAGACTTGCCAATTATAAGGATTCAATCCGGTTAACATATTCAAATGTCCACTAATGCTACTACCTTCACCATTACCACCATTAGTTACTTGGCCTGGCAATAAGGTCATCGGACCAGGAAAATTCATGAAATGCAACCCACTAGACATACTACAACTATAAAAACCACTGTTATTAACCGATGGAAATGTCCATATCGGATCACCACCTCCACCTATAGCTTGATTATTAGAATTAGTTACCATCCAAAAGTTAGTCGGAATCTGACCGTGGCTTGCCAGAATCGCCCCCGTGCTTGACTGCAACAAGTAATTAGCCTTTTGTTGTTGTGATGAAGACAAATCTTGCTCTTGTCTTCGTCTCCTTCCTTCTTCAGTTTGTGATATTTCGAACGAAGTCGAGTTACCGCTTTCCAGTCCGATACCGGGGAACAAACTTCTACGTTGTTGCATAGACGAGTTGGAGTTAAAATCCGAGGATCGAAACTGAGAAGGAACCGACATGGTTGAGCCCGAGCTACGGAGGGATATATTAAGGGAAGTGAAATTTGCGGGGATAGTGCCGGTGCCGGTGGCTGCGATCACGGCTGGTTCAGCTTGTTGGAGTAGCCACTCGATTGTTTCGCCGTCGGTTTTGTGGCCGAGTTCACGAGTGAGTTGAAAAACCCTAGCTGCACAAAGAGCCGGCATGCGGATCCTCCGACCTCGACCGTCCACCTTGGTGTGTCGGTCTTTGGTGGAGGCACGTTTAGGGGTTGGTTTCTTGGTAGGTTCCAGTGAAATTTGGAGATTAGAGATGGAACCACTTGTGTTGGGTTGGGAAGAAGAAGAGGAACAAGGGTGACCATCTTCTTCTTTTGTCTCTAGTAGTCGGAATAGGAAATCAGGGCGGTGTTGATGGCGGTGGTGGTCATCATCGCTGCCTTCTCCTTCCATGATAGCATGAAAACAGTATGATATCTTTGTGGTGGTCAATATTGAGGAGTGAGGAGCCTTTAGATTAATCTTTTTGATAGAGGAGTTGTTTGATTTTGATTTCTTTCATCAAAATTATGTCTTTTTGCCCTAGAAATCCATTGACAATTGACAGGTCTTGATAGAGATAAAGGAGGACAAAGGGAGAGAAATAGAGGATAAGGGAAAGCTTTTAAACCACAAAGATAATAATATGGAGGTGTTACAATTTTTCACAAATTTAAATTTATTCTTCCACTTCTTACCCTAAAACTTATTTATCACAAATTAACTATTGATTATTTATTTATTATTACTTTAGGAGTAAGTATATTTAGTCAGTTGATCAATTTGCTATCTTTATTTTTTTTCATATTCTCGTAGGTTATGGTTTCATTTTTATTCTCTCATATTCCTTTAGGTTATGAGTTATAGACCTTGTAGAAGTCGAGGGCGAAACTAGGGTGAAACTATGGAAGAGACCAAGTTGCTTATCTTTAAAACTAATAGGTTCTAAAAGGTAATTAATCCACAAAAAAGAATATTGAGGCTAATTTTCACTAATTTCAAAATTATCATGTTCTAAAAAGTAATTAAATTAAATGTCTTAAAAATAATTAAACCAGAAAATTTTAGGAGTGTCGAGACTTAGTTTTAATAGTTTCAAAACTTTTAAAGTCTTAAAATACAATTAAACCATAAAAATTGAGGAGTCATGTCTTTCTGCCCCCACTTGGTTCTTACCATTGTTAAAGGTATTCCTCTTGCTTAGGGATAGGCATAGGATCCGAACCCGACGGGTTTCGACCCAACTCGATCAGGTCGGGTTTTTTTTTAAATTTTGGGTTCGGGTCGAGTCGGGTTTTTTAAGTGTGATGATCGGGTCGGATCGGGTTCGGTTTTAGGGTGAAAATACTCTACCCGGAAAAAATATATAATTTTACATTATATATTTAGGAATAATTACAATAATACCCCTCTCTATATAATTTTTTTCAATTAAGTCATTGTTTTTATTGAATAAAAACAATATTTTTATTATTATTTCGGGTCGGGTTAGGTTTCTAAGTTATATATCGGGTCGGGTTCGGATCGGGTGAAATCTTGTTTTGATTGGGTCGGGTCTCAGGTGGAGGATCTCTTGTTCTCGGGTCGGGTCAGGTGGACCAAAAACCCGACCCACGCCCGTCCCTACTCTTGCTTTCCCTTGAGTCTCCCTTTCCATCCCCTATACGTAGGATTAGAATTATATTTAAAATTTATCCAAAAAAATTCCACGCCTTCAATTATTTTTATTCAATGTTTTTAATTAAAAATAATTAAAATAATTAATCATAAAATTATTTCAATTTTAATTTATAAAATACATTATATTCTTATACAAGTATGTTTAAAACATTATTTTTTTTAATTGACATGTGTCTATTTATTTATTTTAAAATATCATGGAAAATATTTTTTTTTATTTTTTTTCTTGCAATAATATATTATGAAAATATATGTTAATTATTTTATAGTTTGTTTAATTAAGTTCTACATATTAACTTTAAGGTAAAATTATTAATTAATTTTATATATCCTTGATAAATGTAATTTTAGATGTTTCAATTGTTGATTTGAGGATTAAAAAAATAAATCGATAGTTAGGAACACCAAAATATTAGAAGAGTTATCAACGTATATTATTTAAATTACGTTCAAGGAGACCTTGTATAACATAATAATATTATTAATTTAAATTTTAAATTCAATAAAATGATTAGACAATATTTTTCACAATTTCGATTTAGAATTGTTTCTGTATATGGATTAAAATAATGGCTATCAAAGAACGAAATATTTATTTATTATTTTTTAGTTTAAGCCTCTGTTCATGATTTTCTCAAACTCGAAAGAACAATGTGAATCAATTAATTTTTAAATATATTTTAATAAATTTAATTAATTAAAATATTTAAAATAATAAAGCTCAAAGTTTTTTTTGAAAAATTGAATATTTTTAAATAAAAATTAATGAATTTATCTTAAATTAAATATATAATTGAATTAAATATAAGTTCAAAATAATTAATTTTATTTAAAGACAAGCATAATCTAATTTTATATTTTTAGTATAATTGTAACGTAATTAAATTTTCACTATTTTGCAATTTAAAATAAAATGGAAAATAAATAAAAATATAGATAAATAATAAGATATTTTTCAAATTATATAAGTGAAACTTTCATCAAATCTCAAGTGGACTGTGTATGTTTCCTAACATTATTTGTCATTTAGAAGATGAGTATATTTAGTCCTAGCTCAACTAAGTAGATACCTTAATAATTCGTGATATCAATTCAATTAAAGGTTTAATGAATAAATATAACACCTTAATCTAATTCGATTCAAAATTCGAGGAATTAAAATGTTACATGGAATCACCGAAATGACTAACTAAACTTTTTAAATCAACAATCATAGTCACCATTAAAAATCCATAGTCTAACCAAATAGTTAAGTTTAAAAAATGGAGAGCTCCCAATAATATATTCCAAAATATATTGAGTATATCAAAATAGAATTGCAACTCAAATATAAATATGGTCTATGAATAATACATGTTCATTAAAATACACAAGATGTACTTTGATAGCTCAATCTAAACTGAAACCAGAATCTAGCGATAAGCTCCTCAAACTGCCACATAAATAACTCTATTGTACTACATGCATTCATTATATGAGTGTCGAGATGTTTCTCTGCCCTGGCGACGGAGAGTGCAAATAGTATACCCCAGACGGTGTAACTAGTCTCAAAAAAGTAAGTGTTTATCTTCCGTGAATCAGATGAAACACCAAATTGTAGAGTCGCCACCAATCTTTTTATTTGGTGAGATTGGTCACCAAAATGTCATATTATTTTAATAAAAATTCCTAAGAATAATATTAAAATAATACGACTCGGGTATGCTAACCAGAAAAATGAGTTTAGGAATCGGTTACGTATGGGAAAGAATTAGCATTCCCACAACGCCCAAAATTAGTACCGGTATTTATTAATTAAAGGTCTTTGCAGTAATTATAAATTTGTATTGAAAATTATAAATAATTTAATTTAGATAATTACTAAATAATATTTAACATAAATATCATTAATCTTATTATAAAATTATTATAATTACAAGTTATGTAAAATAATAATCTAAAAATATAAATACTAATTAATTATATAATATACTAATTACTAATAATTAAAATAAAAAGTAATAAAATTAAATAACCTAATTCGAAATGATATTTAAAATTATATACCAATTATGTAATTTACCCTAAATTACTAATACGAGACTAAAATATAAATTTATTAATATTTAGGGACTAAATGTATAATTTAACCCAAATATATATATATATATATAATAGTGACTAAAATATAAATATACAAAATTAAAATGCCAAATTGAAATACGAATAAACCTGATTTCGGTGACCAAAATTGAAGATTACAGAACCAGGGGGTTGCAGATGTAATTTACCCATGCGTAAATTACTCAAAAGCCCCTCCCCAAAACAACATAGTTTTAGGAGGGTATAAATAGGCCTTAACCGGCCCTAAATTACCCAACTCCCTCATTTTCTCTCCTTGGTTTAGAGAGAAGCTTTCCATTCTCTCTAGGATTCCCTTATCGGAGGAAATCTGGCCACCGACCGACCACCAATTACCGCTGTCGACAGCTATCACCGGCCACCGTTCACAAATTACCTCCAAATCAAAGATCTCAACACCCTAAAGCCGAATCTGGCCTCCATTTCTCCTAAAAGCCCTTAAAATTTCCTTGATCTAGGTTTATACCTTTGAAATTTCGGTGGTTTCTAGCGACGTTTGGGCTTTCCTTCGAGGTAAGTTTCTTCATCTCTTTTTATTTTGATTATTTTTCGTTTCTATTGGTTGCTCGCTATTGTTGTGTTGGGTTCCTCTTTCTTGCCCTCTGTTTCTTGTTATTGTTGTTGCTTGCTCCTCTTGCCCTTTTTTACAGGTTCGATCGAGTCCTTATATAGGGCTCAAAGGTGCACTCTTCGGACCGGTCACAAGGGTGTCCTCCGGTGACTCACCAAGGCTATGGCGGTGACTCGCCTAGAGTGATGCGTTGTACAACTGGTGTTGATATTCTGGAACCTTCAAGATAGCTTTAGAGAGGCGGTGGAGTTGTGGCAGCGCTGGATTGGAGCTGTAGAGGTGGCGAAATGATAACCCTAGGGTTTCTAGGGTTTCTGTTTGGCTCATTCTGGACCCTTGATCTGTGTTGAGATCGAACGGCTAGGATCTGCTAGCGGCGCTGGAGTTGAGATAAAACCCTAGCTGCTCGGGCTTCTCTCGTGTGGGCTGGTTGGATACGGATCTGGCTCAGGTTATTGGGCTTGGATCAGATATGTTGGGTTTAACTCTAGATCGGGTCAGCATATATAAACGGGCTCCAGGTTTGGTTGTAACTGGGCCTGTGATTTACTTGTATCTTGGGTATGTGTGTCTTATTTTGTAACCGGGCCTTTAGGCTTTACAAATAATAATATAATATAATATTATTATATATATAATAACATATATATAATCGTCACTCGGACGAAAACGATTATCGATAGCTGCCCCTATTTACTTTATTTTTGTGTAACCAGGAATAAAGCAATACAAGTTTTCGTCGAGTGAATCTTTTGCTTTGCTGGGAATTTGTTCCACTACTCTTTTTGGAGATCGAATTTTGATATAATCTTGCTCCTGCTTCACTACTCTTCTGTGAAGGCTGAGGATGATTTGCAAATGATTTGCTTCACTACTCTTTCGTGAAGGTTGAATTTGCATGACTTCATTACTCTTTCATGAAGGCTTCATACTTTGCTGAAAAATCTGTTCCACTACTCTTCCATGGGGAACGAATTTGGATTTTGCTTCTGCTCTTGCTTCACTACTCTTCTGCGAACACTGAAAATGATTGTCTTGACAAATATCTAATTTCACTACTCTTCCGTGGATATCAGATTCAAAGTTGGATTTGCTTCCATTACTCTTCCGTGGAGTTTGATTTGACTTGAGAAGAAC